CATAACCAATGATTGGAGACTCTAGGTGACATGGCTCAGAATCGATCACAATGGCGTAGGTGTATACATTCTTTATCTTCCCTTAGACCTTGAGATTAAAATTGCTGCATAACGTTCTTCCTTCCTATACTATATCCTTCTATACAACCTTTCTTTATATAATACTACCACTAAATTAACCACTTCTATGAATCCGGTGTTGATCTTTTTGTGCTAATGAAGTATGGCAACTTTGACCGATTAATATTAGTGCCTGGTCCTACGTTGTAGCTGACTAACTGACTGACTGAATTAGTGTTAGGGAAATTATTTTCAAGCAATGATGATATTTATAATTAGTTAAACAAATATGATTCCCTTTTCTTATGTCAATATTTGATCTTTTCATCATGAAGGATACTATTCAGTTGACTTACATTAAATAATTAAGTTAAACTGATTATTTATGTTTTGTAAGTTATAACTAAGGTAACTATTACGAGATGAATTTTTCATCTGTAAATTAATCATGTGACTAAATCAACCAATCAGATTTAAGGTAACAGATCTAGAATTTTAGCTCGAAATTCATTCAATCATTTGACTTAATATTATTTTATTATTATTAAAGATGTTATAAAGAGTAGGATACTTTCTATAACTCTAGGGTTTCTTGTTATAATAGTCCTTTCACTTTTTACACGTATGTGGGACGTTAATTTACCTTAGACGAATATCTACACTAGATTTCCCTTTCAGTGTCTCTTCTATAAGACTTCAACACAACTCAGATCAAGAACACGAGATTAGCCCTGACTAGAACGTCAATAAATTTCCACATACCTAAAATCCGACACAATCCAACAACAAGGAACAGTCAATCAATAACACTCAGGATAGGGAATATATAGCACATATAATACCTATCACACTATCCACATGTCTGACTCAGCGAAACAACCAATCATTATCATTCTCACCCACACATCAAAAGATGATGTCAATTCATGATGAAAACATTCAATCTAATTTTTAACTTTAAAGTTCAATTGTAAATCGTAATTCTAATCCAATATACTAATAAATAACTCTCATTTAACCTTGGTAAGTAGGTAGATATTCCAAGATCATTCTAACGCTGCTCAATAGTTGTCCATAAATTATAATTTCATCAAAAATGTTTGTCAATATAGGATTGTGAAGTTTGTGCTTCTAGGTTTTTAGTGATAGTCTAACATTGATTGGTTCATGATTTCAGTGAAGACTAATTTTTGTATGTCAATTACAAACCTCGTGTTATATATTTTGGATTGTTTTCAAGCGTGGATTGGTTGGAGTTAGACATAAGCATCATCGGATGCCGGCTCAGTGGTCTAGCGGTTAAATGCTCTGGCGCGAGACTGGTAGATCCTAGGTTGGAATCTCGCGAGGCGAGGTCGTGGATGTGCACTGCTGAGGAGTCCCACAATAGGACGAAACGGTCATCCAATGCTTCCTGGTTTTCCTTGGTGGTCTAGCTTCAATTGACTCATGCTTGCAACTATGAAAATACTAAATCTCCACGAAACCCCTTCTGGTATTTAAGTTTGCTCATTCTTTTGCATATGAACTTTGGCGATATTTATTGTTTATAAAACACACTAGATCAACCATATAAGTTGTTAGTTATTTGAATTTACAATGATGACTACTTTCTATAATGTTTATCGTAAAAAGATATTCCTTTTAATGGAAATCAGCCATATTAAGGATGGGAAAGCCATCACCAACGACAGTGGTGGTGGTAGTGATAGTCGCACAATATTATGAATTGACTGAAGCTAAAAATATTAACTACTGAGTATTAAATCTATGGAATGTTGGTCAAGCTTTTGCACCAAAGCTTGTAGATTTCCCCAAATGCCCTGGTACGGCCGAAAGTGGGGGGGAGTCCGCTCTCCCTCTCGAAATGCTCTCATATGGTCACGCATATATTAACCTCTGTCAGGGAAGTCCTACTCACTGCCTTCTCACTGCATTACTATTGTTCACGAAATTGAGAGAACAAAATGTGAATTTCTGGTGCTTTAACCGGGTTGGTGGGTACGGAGGATCCACTTAGGAGAGTTGGAAAACTCTGATTCCAAACCAATGGTGCACATGGGCTGACTCCAGTATCCTGAGGGAACGAATGGCGCATGAACCAATCGTTGGTCACCGGCTAGCATGAGACTGCATCTCCTTACGATGCTCTACTGCCTTGTGGATCGGATTTTTAGGTCAAAGGCTCGGGGTGTGCCCCCCTATGAAAACCACCTGTTTCGGTTTGGGCACCTGGTCATTATCACAGCCCTCACACAAATCAAATAGGATTTGTGTGGCGCATATATATGTGGTGCCCCTTTGTACCAATATTCATGTATTTAAATAAATAAAATATATCTTCGTTGGATCGTTAGTTCTCACTTTTGAGAAGTCTTATATCAGGACAATTGGATATCTTGTTTTTCCTAGCTGCCAATGGTTATCTTTCTAATATTAATTCATGATGTGAAACTTGATATTTAGTTGTTATTAGATTGTTTAAATGCATTCTGCTCAATGTTTATGTTTTAAGGTATATTCATCAAGCTAACTATGACCATATGTTGAAGGTACATAAAACCATACTCTTCATTGAACCCTGATGATAAGTGTTCTTTAACGTGTCTGGAAGTTTCCGTGAATGAATAGTTTACGAGCTCTGAAAATTCATACAATCACCTTTTGGTAGATAGTTATATTTTTAACCCATACTTTCTGAGACTTTTTAAATATTATACTAGGTAGATTGGTCCATTCGGTTTGTTTTATAGACTAATATCAAATGGTCTATGATAACGGCAAACAGAAATCAGAAAGTTGGTAAAGAGATTTCACCCAAGATCTTCGACAAGATTGTAGATGTGCACTATCTGACGGTTTCAGAAATTCCAAGGCTTCTTGGTTTTTGTTTGTTATCAGCTTAGATCAATTTGTGACAAAAGTCACCTTAAAAACCATTTAATCTTCACAATCAATCTATTAGACATAAGGACAAATCCAGGATGTACGTTTCATTCTATTTGAGATCTGTCAGTTGAATGCATCTGTCTCTCAATATTGATATTTACGTTGAGGCTCGAATTCAGTACGTTTTGCATTAAACCTCAACGTGTTATCCACTGACGTATTGAGATTGGATGCCCACTAGTTCATGAGAAAGGTAATAATTTTTTTTAAGGGGTTTGTCAAGGGGTGTAACTGATCAGTCTCTGATATCATATACCTCTCTTGAGACTATTACATCGATATAACCATTAAGGTACAAGTTTTTATTAAAGTCAGATCTGTTACCAGATTAATGATTTCATAGAACACTTTTTATCAACGGTTATATTTTCACTATTCTATTATTTATAATTAACATCATGTGGGTTTTAAAACATTTGTGTTAAATTAGAACCAACCTTTTAACATTATTGATACTGATTATACGAAAATTAATATTACTTACTTACGCCTGTTGCATCTCATGGAGGAGAAAAATACTCTCACAAGCGTTAATCATCCATCCCTGTCCTGGGCAATCCTTTGCAGTTTTTTCCAGTTGCTATTCATCCTTTTCATCTGTGCTTCCAATTCTCGACTCAGTGTGTTATTTGGCCTTCCTCTTTTTTGTTTCCCTTCAGGATTCCAAATTAGTAATTGATTCGTGATGCAGTGTGATGATTTCCTCAATATATATATCCTATCTACTTCCAACATCTTTTCGTGATATCCTCTTCAGTTGGAAGTTGATTTATTCTCTCCCACAGCAGGTTGTTACTGATGATATTCGACTAACGGATATTGGGTCTCGTGTGCAGACGATTGTTTGTAAATGCTTCTGCTTTTTCACTAATGGTTGTAATAATTCTTCAAGTTTCAGCTCCTCTTGCAGTAGATTCTCGCTTTGATATTGGTTGACAGATAGTTGTTTCAAGTTCCATATGTTTTTAAATTGTAGGAATGCTGTCCTTGCTTGGTCAATCCTCACCTTGACGTGTGAATTAGATCCTCCACATTCATCAATGATGCTACTCAGATACGTGAAACTTTCTACCTCTTCCAGAGTTTCCTATCAAGTGTGATTGAAAGTTAGTATAGAGAGAATAGAATCGACTCAAATGAACTTAAACGTTGTTAGTTTTGTCTCAGGAAAAAAAACCTTGGAGATTAAGAAATCTTCAATCCTAGAATATAGAAATTAATTTTTAGAAATATATAACTATAATTGCGTAATTGAACTAATTTAATTTATCATCACATTGATTTTCAGTTAATTAAAACAGAGATGAAATCTCCACATCTTTTGGGAAAGATTATATTGTGTTGCTATAACTTGTAGCGTTATCCGTTATATGGCCAATAAGAGAACAGTGACTTATTGATCGAACCAATGATCCATAAACCCCATAAGAGCAATCTAGAGTCATTATTGGTCCTTCTTCCTTTCCTAGCTTTGCATGTTGAGTTCAGAACACAAATCTCAGCCTCATTAATGCGAATCATGTATTTTAAACATAATGGATTTATGTACAAACCAAACAGACCACATCACACTATAAAATAAAAAATAACATTTGTACAAAATCTAGCCGAAAGTGGCTGTGAATGTGGAAGACTGTAATTAGTAGAATGGGCATAAATTGAGAATGGTAAATCGTATAATAATAGTCTATATGTCAAAATAAAGCTTATAATAATAATAATAATAATAATAATAATAATAATAATAATAATAATAATAATGGAATGCCGGCTCATTGGTCTAGTGGTTAAGCGTTCACTTGCGAGACTGATAGGTCCTAGCTTGAAATCTCGCTAAGCGGAATCATGAATGAACACTGTTGAGGTGTCCTTCACTAGGACGAAACGGCCGTCCGGTGCTTCTAGGTTCTCCATGGTAGTCTAGCTTCAATTTGACTCATGCTTTCAACTATGTTTTATTAATTGTTTTTTTTTAAAATTTATTTATTTAGGATATTGACAATGTGATTAATCGTGCAATATCTGCCAATGTTCATGGTGCTATTGTATTGACTGAGAATAGAAATGATTTTTCAAAAGTATTTAAATTAAAGAAAAAGTACATTTTTAATTATCTTTTCATTGTTTCCTTACAATTATTACTCATTATATATATATGCATTTCATGAATTAATTAATTTTAATAGTTGAGATCGTGAATCAATTGAAGTTAGACAAGCATGGAAAATCTAGAAGCACTGAATGTGTCGCTCAATTTCGTGGATCGGTTGAAGTTAGACATTAATACCGGCTCAATGGTCTAGAGGTTAAGTGATCACGTGCAAGACTGATAGGTCCTGAGTTCAGGTCTCGCGAAGCGGGATCATGGATGCACACAGTTGAGTAGTCCTACAATTGGACGAAACGGCCGTCTAGTGCTTCTACGTATTCCATAATGGTCTAGCCTCAATTAGTCCATGATCTCAACTATTAAAATTACTATAATATCCACAAAACTCCTTCTGACATTAATTAATTATTTAATTTATATTATGATAAAAGTAGGAAATTTATTATGTGATACATTTACTCAATCAATTAAGAGTTTCACTTGTATCTTCCCATTGTTATTTAGGATTGCAGTTGATCAGTCACTTATTGGCATATGTACATACTGTGCAGACTGCCTCGATATTTCCTGAAGTCACAAACTTTATAAGCAAAGATGGATAATGGCTAGCAGTGGAATCCAGGACACTCGTTCCGTCCTATTCGGGACTTATCAGTTAAATGTACCTGCAAGAGACTGATCAATCGCAATCGTAAACATCAATGGGAAGATTCAAACAAAAAATATCAAATGAATTTAAACTTTACCCTATTGCACAAGCAAGTGGCTATCTGGATTCAGTAGTTAAGTGGATAACGTAATGACGTTTGGAACGAAGGTTACTGGGTTCGAGTCCCAGAGTGAACATGAACTCTGAGATTTAGGTACGTCCATCTGATGAGTCTCAAATAGAATGAAGTGGCGCGCATCCTGGATTCCACTGCTATCCACTATCCATCTTGTTAATATTTAAATAGTAGTATACTATTGAATTATTAATAAAATTTAGTTGCTAAGGCTTAAAAATATTTTCTATTTAAAAATGAAAACAAAATAACCATTTTACATAATTAATTCTATTTAAAATGAATGATTTAATAACTTTTCACATTAAGTAACCCTTATGTTTAACGATATTGTGTTTATAGCGTTGGATACATATATATTGATTTTGATAATGAATATCAGCATGCAATAATATCTCTAGTGGCTACCACATCAAATAGATTGGGATTATTTTCCTAGATTATAATAAATAACAACTATTAGAAGTATGTAATGAACCTTGATAAAGTATTTTCACTAGATAACATGATGAAATTTATGGGGGGGGGAAACTTTCTAAAAGGACTTAAATCTAGGTATCAACATAATTATATTACCGTATTACTAAGTTATAATGTTCTTCCATGTTGATTATAGTTTGTTGAACTCAGAGTCCGCTCTCCCTCGAAAAATGCTCTCACATGGCCACGCGTATATAGCCTCACTGCCTTCTCTTGGCGCGCGTGTTATTCACGAAATTGAGAGGACGAAAAGCGAATGTCGGGCTCCCGAACCGGGTTGGTGGGAACGGAAAGTTCATCTAGGGAAGTTGGAAAATCCTGATTCCAAACCAATGGTGCACATGGTTCCCAGTATCGTGAGGGAAAATGGCGTATGAACCAATTGTTGGTCACCAGTTACCATGGGACTGCATCTCCTCACGATACTCCACTGCCTTGTGGGTTAGACCTTTAAGTCAAAGGCTTGGGGTGTGGCCCCCTAAGAAAACCACCTGTTTCGGTCTGGGCACCTGAGCAGTATCACAACCCTCACACAAATAAAATAAAAAAGCGTGGCGCATATATATCTGGTGCCCTTTTGTACCAATATGTATATGCTTAAATAAACAATAAATAAAATATCTTGGTAAAATATGAGAATCATACATCATATACTTCATTTACAACTTTTCATCTTTTGTCTTTCATAATCTGTATGATTCTTCAAGTTAATAATTCCTCTCGATTTTCTCTTCTATTCACTTCAATTCTATCTTCTTCGCCTTCTTCTACTAGAGTTTCCACTTCCGATTAATGTTACATACTACTTATGTCGGCAGATATAAGTAGCATATATTAAAGTTTTATTTTTATTTATTTATTTAAACAAATAAATATTGGTATAAAGAAAGCACCAGATAAATATGCGCCTCACAAATCTCATTTGATTTGTGTAAGGGCTGCCCAGGTGCCCAAACTGAAGTAGATGGTTTTCGTAGGGGGCCGTACCCGGGTCTGATCCACAAGGCAGTGGAGCATCGTGAGGAGATACAATCCCATAATAGCCGGTGACCAGCGATTGATTCATACACCTTTTTTTTCCCTCAGGATACTGGGAACCATGTGCACCATTGGTTTGGAATAAAGGTTTTCCAACTTCCTTATATGGACTTTCCGTTCCCACCAACCCGGTTCGGGAGCCGGACCTTCGCTTTTCGTCCTCTCAATTTGGTGAACAACACCCTCGCCACGAGAAGGCTGTGAGTATAACTTCTCTGTCAGAGGCTATATATTCGCGTGGACATGTGAGAGCATTTTTCGAGGGAGAGCAGACTCTCCCCACTTTCAGTCGTACCAGGGCATTTGGGGGAATATACTAAAGTAGTATAACTATACAAATTTTCTAGTTGAATACTAACAACAGAATATATATACATATATATCTCACCGTATTATAAGTTTAATATACTTCCTAGAAAAAGTTTACCTTAAATATCTCAAAAAATGGATTTCTTAACCTTATTTAACCAACTGTTTCTCAATTTTAACTGATTAATATCAATTGTCTTAAAATTTGTAAAAAGGATATTTGTAATAGAATATTGTTTATTTTCACCCATTTGAAACATCTTCAGTGACCCCCTCCCCCCTAAAAAAAAACACTTTTTTTTTTAAAGATTGCAACTAAATATCTGAGGACAATGTGTTAAAGTGTATCCATACTATTTATTCAATGTATCAATATCACTCGAAAATTATAGATTAAACATATAAGTTATATACATGATATTACTTATATGAGAATGTTTAATCAAACAGTATGATCAAAATGATTTTTCTTTTCCCTTTGTTTTTTCAATCAAGATATCTTAAGTTAGTAGTTATTTTCATTTATACAAAGAAAAAAAACTTACCTATTTATGCCTGTTATCCCTCATTTAGGAGTTTAGGCAACCCACCAGCATTCTCCATCTAACTCTATCCTGGGAAATCTTTTCCAGTTGTTATTCATCCATTTCATACAAAGAAAAAGCTATCCTGTAATTATATAATATATTATAAAATAATAGGTGATATATATACATATCGAATTGTTTGATAGAATATTAAGGAATTCAGCATGAAACAAGAATAAAATCAATAGCTCAGTGAAATAGTAAATTTATTTTATTTATTTATTTTATTTAAACACATAAATTTTGGTACAAGGAAGCACCAGATACATATGCGCCTCACAAATCTCACTTGATATGTGTGAGGGCTGTGATACTGCCCAGGTGACCAAACTGAAGTAGGTGGTTTTCTTAGGGGCCCACACCCGGTGCCTTTGACCTAAAGGTCTCATCCACAAGACAGTGGAGCATCGTGAGGACATGTAGTCCTATGGTAGCCGGTGACCAACGATTGATTCATACACCATTTTTTCATTCAGGATACTAGAGTCCATATGCACCATTGGTTTGGAATCAGGATTTTCCAACTTCCCTAGATGGACTTTTCGTGTCCACCAACCCGGTTAAAGCTCCGGATATTCGGTTTTCGTAAACAACAATTATGCCACGAGAAGGCAGTGAGTAGAACTTCCCTGTCAGAGGCTATATACGCGTGGACATATGATAGCATTTCGAGAGGGAGAGCGGACTCTACCCACTCTCGAACGTACCAGGGCATTTGAAGGGGGATATCTTGATCCATAAAATTCGACATCAGCTCTAAACGATTTAAGAAATATCATAGCGTTTATTAATCAATAATCAACCAATAGTAATTATTAAAAGTATGTTGGTTACGACATACAAATTTAGATTGTTGATCGAGATAATGAATTGATCAATGTTGGACTAGCATTTAAAACATGCAAGCCCTGGAAGGTCGCTTCATTCTAACATTGGACTCCTGAGCAGTGCATACTCACGATCTCGTACTCGGGATTCGAACTCAGGACCTTCAGTCTCTCACGTGAACGCTTAATCTCCAGACCAATCAACCGAGCTTCAACGGTATTAATGTCTTACTTCAATCCATGATATTGTGCGACCATTTACCTTAACCTTTGTTGCGTGACTAACTTACACTCGACACGGATTATTTAATTCCCTAATTCATTGATGCGATTTAAGTCATTGATTATCTATGAGAGTAACCGGGATATATATTTTCCTATGACAATCATAATACGATTTGATTATAGTCATCAAAATTCAGTAATCATGGCTTCAGCGAAGCGTAATCAATTAGACGTGAGTAGCTGACTAATTTATTGAAATTATTGTTTATAGGTTGTAATCAACTCTAGGAAATTTATGAATGATTCTTCTACTTATCTACTTCAATGTTCTTAGTTTTTCCAATTAATTGTTTTGGAATAAAACACTTTTCTGACTGGCTGATAAGTCGTCAATTTCATCTATATAGATTACCCCCCCCCAATTCAAATAATTTTGTTGTGGGTGTGCTGTGGAGTCCCATACTAGGACGAAACAGCCGTCCAGTGCTTCCAGGTTTTCGATGGTGTTCTAGCTTCAATTGACTCATGATTTCAACTTTGAAATTTTGTTGTTGTTGGAATAATCATGCATCGTTCTAAAGTGAATACAGATTGTATTAGCTATACAGTTGGATTCAATCCATCAAAACCTATATTTTACCTAAGTTTTGTTTTATTCTGTATTTGTTAGTAAAGTTAATCTGATATTTTCAGAGAATTAATCATCCTCCGAAGACTGTTGACTTTTGTCAACTCTATCTCCTAATTAGTGAATAATACTGTATCACATCACAAAACTAAAAAAATTTCTAAATTTTGTTAGTTTCTAAAGCTAATTACATATCCTAGACAGATTTTTTCTGGTTGACGTTTTTTTAGCGAGTTTGTTTTCTATAGGATGAGTTAGATAACCCATGCCTAACCCTTTCTTGATTTCCCTGAAAGTAGCTTGATCTAGACTTCTAGAATGTTGAACAATTATGTTATTTCAGGTATTATTCTAAGCTAAATTGATAAATCTTCTACCGATAATAAGTACTATGAGTAAAGCCTGTCATAACATTGGTTGATAAGTTTATGTAATAAGATACTCATACAAAATGAAGTAAAAAGATCATATGTATGAATATTTCAGAATAACATACAACAAATATACCCCACGATCATTATAACTAGACGAAATCTTGGTAGAAATATATTTACTTAACAATCGTAAGGATTAAACGAAGTTGCAAATGGATATTAACACCGTTGGATTCCAGCTCAATAGTCTAGAGTTTAAGGGTTTGTGCGAGAAACTGGAGTTCCTGGGTTTGATTTCCAGATTCATGGTCTTGGGTAGAAATAAAACAGAAATTACTCAACAGGTACTTCATATATATATATATATATATATATATATATATATTCTGCACCAATTTGAAAGACTCTCCCGGTCTCCCACATTGTCCAGACGTTCCATGTACCTATAAAAATGTTTGCTCTGATTGTTAGAAGGGGCATCGGCCTCATAACTTTCGAAGGAACTCGGCTTTCATCATGAGACATCATAATTATTCCTTCTACTCCCAGGGCAGAGTTTAAATGGTTTGAATAATATTTTCTGCTTGGCGTTTTTTTAGCGAGTTGGTTTTCTACGGGATGAGGTCGCTAAACCCATGCCCAACCCTCCTCCTTTATTCGGCCTTGAGACCGGCAGTAGCCCCCAGAGGAGCTAGAGGCGGAGTTATATATATATATATAAAGTATGTTCTACACTAAGACAATTTTTTATCAAATACCAAGTCATATGACTAGAATATTATGGGTAGTATAGAGTTATCTTCATTTAATTAAAAACATTTCTGTATTTCCACTAGCTTCCTTAACACTAAGATGATCCTTGATAAATGGTATTATTACTATGATATGTATATTATCATACTCAAGAAAAGTTATTGATTTGAAGTTCATTTTAATGTACAACGTAGGATATCACAAAACCTCCTTCTGATAATAATCATATCCTCACTAGTGATTGGCTTCAAGAGGTATTTCCTGGAGTTCTAGTGAAAAACTGTGATCAGTGATGTTCAACCAGGTCTGTTGTGAGATAGTAACTCACTGAAGACAATGATGGACGGTTGCTCAATTTCGCAGCTGGCTCAGTGGTCTAGAGGTTAAGCGTTCACTTGCGAGACCGATAGGTAGTGGATCCGAATTTTGCGAGGCGGGATCGTGGATGCGTACGGCTGAGGATACCATACTCGGACGAAACAGCTTCTCAGAGCTTCCAGGCTTTCCGCGGTCGTCTAGTCTAAATTTATTCATGAATTCAACTACAGAATTATTTGTTTGTTAATTCGCTAAAACATTGGTTATTATTATGTTTTCTTGAACAAAATAATTATGATTTTATGGTATTCTTTTAATTTTTAATATATATAGGTATCCAGATTGGATTAATATTTGCCTTGGGATTCATCCTGTACAGGTAAAAAACAATTTATATAAGATTTGCTTTGTGTTGTCTACTCGTATCTTCCCATTGTTATTTAGGATTGCAATTGATCAGTCTGTTGTTGGTATATGTGCATCCTGTACGGACTGCCTTGATATTGCCTGAAGTCACAAGCTTTATAAGCAGAAATGGACGGGGGCTAGTAATGAAATCCAGGACACACGTTACGTCCTATTTGCAACTTTTCGTCTATCTCTTCTTATAATGCTTGTGAATTAAGGTAATATCGAGGTAGTCCGCACAATATGCACATATACCACCAAGAGAATGATCAATTGTAGTCCTGAAAATCAATGGGAAAATTCAAGCAACCAATAGTTCGACGATTATCCAATTCAGTGGTAGCCCAATTTAGGTCAATCTGTAGTGGACACAACCTATAGAATAAAACGATCGCCATAAAACTCCTACAACTGAATTATGGTAGTTAATTTACTAATAAATTACTTCAAAAAGCTCTGGAAATTTTAGTGAGAAGTTCTGATTGATGAATCTCATTCATATCAGGAGTGAAACCTATGTCATTAACAGTACTGAATGATTATCGTGTCAATATCAAAACTTGAATGAGTTGAAATAGTAAAATTGGATATAGATTCAGTGGCTCTAATTGTTAGGTGTTAGCCGAGAGACTTTAAAATCCTATCTTTACTCATTGGTATGTTATAGATGCTCAATCCGTAGTCATCCTAAATAGTCATTACTGTATTATTGTGTTCATAGTGCATTATTTAATATTGAAAACATATACAGAATTGAATGAAATTTCATACTGTTGTGAACAGAACACTGGTTGGGGACAATCGAATGTATTTTAGCAAAAATTACAGACTATCTCAGTAAATTCTGAAAACCATACAGTGAACAGTCAATTTGCAAATTAACAACCAATAGTCTCGATCTTCACTGTTTCTTCTCCAATTCCAACCGATTGAGCTTCGTTTCAGTTCTTTCCTTATCGGTCTTCTGCGAAAATACATTCTATGTCTGACCAACACCATATACTAATTATATGGATATAAGTAGACCACACCACAATACTACTGACTATATTAAGTAATTTCTTGCAATTCAAAAAACTTTACTACTTAAATCAATGAGTCAGTTAAAATTAGAAGAAACATGAAAACATCAAAGTTTGCTGATAATTTACAGTATAATAGTATCACAGTAAGCAGTTTAGGTTCGCTTCTGGACAAGTCAATTTACCTATCAATCTCGAGTCATGTTTTGACCTTGTTAATTATTCACTTATCACCCCTGACTATTTTTTTATATGAGCTTATGTGTGTGTGCACTTCTTTTCCTATTCATCACATGTCTGCAACTTATTCTTAATTGACTATAAATATTGATTAACGTCTTATTAAAGCGAGTTGGCTTATCCGCCATCTCTAATACGTGTTGTTTTCGCTTCGCTCTCTTCTATTCGCTTCATCACTCTGATTTCCTGTCCAGATCAATGAGTGTATATTCGAAATCCATTTTCGTATTTGACTTATTTAACTCGGTTATTTATCGACGCCAATTAAATCATGTATTACAAACGAGCATAGATAGGATGTATATTTTGACAACAATCATTTATACGATCTAATTGGAGTCAGATCTATGGCCACTATACACTTCTTGTATGCAGTGATTGTTATTGTTAGTTTATTAAATGGTATTGGTAAAAATTATCTAAACCCCATCAGTCACAACTTTACCCTGGCACTTCAGGAACGTTTCGAATTAAGCCACTACTGAGCTAACTCTAAAAGTTTACTTGATAGATTTTATTTTGTCATAAATCTATTTAATCTTCATCCCAAAATGATCATCAAGTTACACTGTTAACTTATATCTTGTTGTATCCCGTGGAGAATTATGAATGGTAACTTTGAGAACTATTTATGGATCAATATGATATGTATAATCCCTATTGTATAATTGTTAAGTAACTAAACTATTGATATTCATGTTCCTCTTATTATAAACTTTATTTTGACCTATAGACTATTATTATGCGATTTACCATTCTTCAGTTATCCACAGTCCATTAATTACTGTTCCCCTTATTCATAGCCACATTTGGCTAAATCTTTTACAATTGATGAACGGATTACGTCCTTGTTAAATTCGTAAGGTCATGACGAATCAGCGACGACCTTGATCAAGTCATAACAATTGGCTACAGTCTAGGTCAAAACATAACAGGTTAGTCTCTAATTAAGGTTATATCAAGGCAATACGCACAGTATGCACATATGCCAATTAGAGACTGACAAGTAGAAATCCTAACACATCGATGAGAAGATTCAAACAAACAATACTAAATGAATTTGAATATTATATTGTTCAATTCTGCGTCTTATCAAATTTTAAATTATAGGTAATTTTTAACAAATTGTTCTTCAACTTGTTGTTATATCTCGTGGAGAATTATGAATGGTAACTTCTGAGAACTATTTATGGACTAATATGATATGTATATTTCTTATTGTATAATTGTTAAGTAACTATTCTGTACGGCGGCCTGCTTGAATCCCTGGGCTACCTGTTTCTGCCATCTAAATATTTCAACAAGTTATCTGGGCTTTTTAAAAATTTGTTTTAACCTATCATTATGTCTCTTGATCGCATAACCTATACAGGCGCGTTTATGAAAAGCTTACGTCCTTTCGCTACAAAAATTACAAACAAGTACAATAAGAGACATTGTGGTGTTTGGCAATATGCTTTAGAGAGAATAAACATTAATCAAATGTCGATTCCCGAGCTGCTTAACTCTAACTGTCGATCTCTAATTAACAAGGTGGACTATCTCCAATTTCTGCTAAGTCAAAACATGTATCGTAATTGTGATGTCATCACAATTCAAGAATCTTGGTTGACTGACTTACAGGATGATTGCCTAGTATCATTACATGATCTTAATATCTATCGTCAGGATCGATCAAACAATAAAAAGACCTGTGGTGGCGCAGTAGCTACTGTGTTTTTTTTGGTAAAAAAAACTTGTTGAAATAACTCGTGCTGAGAATTCTATATTGTACCAGATTATAATATTGAATAAAGCCATTAATTATTATTATTATTTGTATTTGTGTCCCTCTTATTATAAGCTTTATTTTGTCCTATGAACTATTATTATACGATTTATCATTCTTGAGTTATACTCAGTTTATTGATTACTGTTGCCCCTATTCACAGCCACATTTGGTTAAATCTTGTACGAATTCTATTTTCTATTTTATAGTACGATGTGATCTGTTTGATTGGTATATAAACCCAGTATGTTTGAGAATAATGATTCATATTGCAGAGGCTTTTATTGGTGTTCTGGACCTAACTGGCTGGGTTAGGCAGAAAGCAGGAAAGAATAGTACTCAAGACTGCTCATACGGCTTTTGTGTATCAATGGGCGATCGATAAATCACTGCTCTCTAATTGGCGGTATTATCACGTTCATATATGGAACAGGACAAGTACGCACATACGCACTCACCCGTTATAACATATCTACTAGAGTTCAGATGTTTCATTGTGATGTATTTATCTTAAAAGGAATAACTTTACGTTCCTTTACTCTCATTCTTTTTCTTTTTTATCTTTTTTATAGAAACAAGAAGGAACTCACAATGGTCAACGTAGTGTTAACATGAAAGTTTGTCTATAAAATCTTGTATTAAAATCCACCCCCACCCCCCAAAAAATTCTCTTATTACTTTAGGATTTAAAACATACTCGTGATATTATCCTACAGCATAAATATGAAATTGTTGGCATTGGTGAGGTATGTAACTTCATTTCACTTCTTCTTTAAAATATAAAACCCTTAACATACTTTAGATTGGATTAGATTTTACACCGACAATATGTTCAACTAATGAATTACAAGATATACAAAAAAGTATATTTACTATTCAAATTCAATTGGCTAAACAATTGAATTTACCAGTGTAAGTTGAAATGTTTAGAATATTTGTTGTTGTTGTGAACGGTACTGAGTTCGAGTCCCTGGGTGAATATCAACTCTGAGATGCAGATATTTCCAGCTGAGGAGTCCCAAATGGAACGAAGTGGTGTGCGTCCTAGATTTCACTGCTAGACACTATCCATCTTTTCTTATAATTTCATTATTATTTATAATTACGGTTATTATCAATAATATCTCATCAAATTATTCAAAACTAATAATTGAACCAGTTGTAATGTCGGTTACTATCTTAAAACTTATTTTAACTTTTGGACAAGACCATTTGTCTATTGTTTCAACAAACAAACTCAGAAAGCTACTGTCGACGATAAATCTTCTGCTCTCCATACTTTTAACGAACAAACTCAGCGAAACCAATACAGCAACGAAATGAACATGCTCAAGTCTTATTATCTTATCAATACTTTGTCCTCATATCAACTTTTCTCATTGATCCACCCAGCGGATCGTTCCATTATGATTCAAATAATTATCATAGTCTCGGGCTCATCACTTTCGTGACCCGTTGATAACATTGTCCGATCTAACTGACATCAAAAGTAAGGGTACGATTAAACAGTAAATGTGGACTGTGATTAGCAATGGAATCCAGAATCCGCGTTTTGTTTACTCGAAACTTCTTGGAATCTTAGGCTTTCATTTCATTATTGACTATAACTCAGTATTTTTCGTTTCAAATGATGAAGCGTTTATTCACGAGACAATTGACACCATATTTTCACTATCTTATTTAATATTTAGAAAGGTAATATTAAGAATTTTAATTTTACTTTTTCTGAAAATCCACCAAGGACATATGAAGGGCAAGAGGAACTGAAAGGTTTCAGTCTTGAATTCTAACAGCAAGAAATAACAAGCTACTACAAATGGTAACTGGACAGTTTAGAAAATCTTATTGCTATACATCAAACATGGTTGTACGGAATTTGGTGGTCAGAGAAACAAGATTGTTGAAACAACATTGGACTGCTTTTCTGGATCGTATCAAAATCATTCACAGTGTAAAGGAAAAAAAAGTGCTCTGGCGCGAGACTGGTAGGTCTTGGGTTCGAATCTCGCGAGTGCGGGATCGTAGATGCGCACTGCTGAGCAGTCCCATAATAAGACGAAAAAGCCGTCCAGTGCTTTCAGGTTTTCCATGGTGGTCTAGCTTCAATTGACTCATGATTTCAGCTATGAAACGGAATTTATTCAGAAAATTCATCAAACGAACTTACTTACACCTGTTATCCTTCGTTGAGGAGCATAGGCCATCCACCACCATTCTCGATACAACCCTGTTTGCACAATCATTTTTATTTGTTTCCAGTAGCTATTCATCCTTTTCTTGACTGTTTCCAATTACCGACGCAGTGTGTTCTTTGGTCTTCTACATTCCCGTTTTCCTTCACGATTCCATGGGAGCGCTTGCTTCGTGATGCAGTTTAATGATTTTCTCAATGTCTGTTCTATCCACTTCTAACGTCTTTCTACAATTTCTTTCTTAGCTGGAAGTCGATTTGTTGTCTCCTACAGTAGGTTGTTGCTGATGATATCTGGTTGATGGACATTGAGTATGTTGAGTATACAATTGTTTATAAATACTTTTGCTTTTTCACTGATGGTTGTGGTAGTTCTCCAAGTTTCAGCTCCTCGAGCAGTAGGACTGTCTTGACAGTAGTATTGAAGATTCTCAATTTGAAATTAGTTGACAGACAGATGTTTCGAGTTCCATATACTCTTCAACCGTAAGAATGTGTCCCTTAATTTTCTAATCCTTAACTTTACGTGTGCGTTAGATCTTCCTTGTTCATTAATGATTTTGTCCCGGTACGTGAAGGTTTTCACTTCTTTCAGATTCTCCATCAAGTGTGATTGGGTTGATATTCTCCTTATTGTATTCTAGGATCCTTCTATTCCCCTTGTATATGTTGAAACCTAATGATTCAGAGGCTGCTGCCTCTAAAAGCCACAGTTATTATTGATTTAAAATTTCTTAGTGATAGAATTTAAATGCTCTAATTAATCTACATTAATTGCCAATTTTAGAAATGTTCATTCACATTCTGCTGGAAAAGAAACCATTGACATATTGAAATCTGAAGGTAAATTTACTTTTTATTTAAATAATTTTACAAAGATATTGGTGATTCTTTTCAAAAATCACTTCATTACATGTATACTTTGTGTATCAGTATTATTTGTACTGAAATGAAGTACGGAAATCATGATTATTTACAGGGATGACCAGAAATAGCATTTGAAGAAATCTAAGGGTAATGTTATAACTGTTTTATATACTCCTTATTACGACCCAGCGATTCCTATTGCTTAGTATTCTTCGACACTAATACTCTCGACAAGTCCACAAATCAGAACATGGTTAAACAGGGAAGAAATTATATTCAAAATAACAAGGATTGATGGAAGTAAGCAGTGCAATAAGAAATACGTTAGTATATTTATAGATTTTATATTAGACGATTCTAGAGTCTCCTCCAAGCAACGACTAGAGCTGATTGGATAAGAATTAGCCAATCAACGTGCGACAACACAATCGTGCATGAAAGATGCTTTAATCCAATCTATGGCCCGCTAACAGGTACATGAATTGTAATGACGTTATTCTTAAGTTATATTGAAACAATATTTGTGATAACTTGTGGAATATAATTTTTGTACATGACCGATGAAGGGAAGTGATACCAATTTAGATGACAGCATTATTGATGAAATGGTCACCATCATAGTTAGTTATCTTGTAAACGAAGAGTTAATTAGTGTATGAAAAGTTTTTATACTCTCAGAAAGTGGTATGACGGAAAAATCATGTACATTTCTGTCATAACTTGTGGCCTGGATACCCTGTTAATGTACAACGTGAGAGAGAGCAGTGAATTATCGATCGGACCAATGAAACCCGAAACCCGTACGAGCAGTCTAGAATACTTGTCGGTTTTGCATTCTGTCTCGCCCAACCAGTTAAGTTATTGTGGCGTCGTGCTCGTACGGCGAGGTATCCAATTATGTTGTCGGCGTAAATCTGATTCTGTGTATACTCGTATATAATAAATGACTTTATTCCGCGTTGGTGAACAACGGAGTTAAATAAGTCAAATAGGAGAATGGAATTAGAATACATATATTTTCTACAGTCATTGATCTGGCCAGAGAATCAGAGTGATGAAGCGAATAAAAGCAAACGAAGCGAAAATGACATGCAGTGGAGATGTCTGGAAAGCCAACTCGAGAGTGAGGCGAAAGATGATGCGTATTGGAGATGGCTGGGAAGCCAACTCGAGAGCGAAGCGAAAGATAATGCGTATTGGAGATGGCTGGGAAGCCAACACGATTTAAGCAAGCGTTAATCAACATTTATAGTCGGACAAAAATGAATGACAGAGATGTGATAGGTAGGATAAGAAGGGTGCATACACATGCGCTCATATAACAAGGTGGTCAAGGTTAGTAAGCGAATAGTAAACAAGATCAAAATATGACTCATAATGGATAGGCGAATTGGCTTGAAGTATATGGGCTTAACATATAAACTGATACTACAAAGTCCAGAACACCAATATCAGCCTCCGTGGTATGATTCATTTATTTCAAACATATTTCGGTTTCTATACCAAACAGATAGACCACATAGTACCAATAAAATAGAAAATAACATTTGTACAAGATTCAGCCAAAAGTGGCTGTGAATGTGGGGAACAATAATTAATAGACTGGGTATAACTCAAGAACGGTAAAACATATAATAGTTCATAGGTCAAAATAAAGCTTATAATAAGAAGGGTACGACTATAAATAGCTTAGTTGGTTAACAACTATACAATAGGAAATATACATATCACATTGGTTCATAAATAGTTTTCAAAAGGTACCATTCATAATTCTTATCGGGACATGACAATTTCATATTGATAGATGTTTCATTTTTTCCGTGGATGAGGTATTAAACAATTTATTTGCTAGTGTTCAGTATTGCTTTGGGCTCATTGTTACTATTTAAGGAGACTGAATAGAGAATTTACTTCATAGAAGAGATACGAGTTAATTGAATTGATACAATGAGACTGTTGGCCTATACTCAGAATTGATATTTCAATCCTAGTTAAGTACATGAAGGTGCCACCACCACCACTGGTCAAGCATTTACTTAAGGAAAAATAACCGTCATTAAAAACATATGGATTTTTCTCACTTTTCGTGTAGTATGTTTGTTTTCTTATGAAAATAGATAAATTTGTCCTCGCGGTAAATACGTAGAGCTTTTAACAATCTAGTCAAATCAATGTTATTTGTAACAGTAGACATAACCATCCAGATAGTAACCATTTATAAAATTGTTGTTCATTATATATATCCTCATATATTATAGTCACGTTATCTGACTGCTGAAGATACCATTGTAGTTTTATGGTATTTCAGTTTTGTTTTTTTAGTTCCTAATATGTCGTTTATTGATGTTTATTCTTGACAGTACATTCGGTTTGTTTATCATATAACTTGAGGTGAAATGCAATGAAATACAACAAAGTTTGATGATGAAATTATTTTCTATTCAATAAGACCCCCCTTAAAAAATCTCTTTTATATCGAGAATTTAAAGGCAGTGAACGTTTCTTAGTAGCTCAGATAACTATTAAAATGATCTAGAAATGAAATGTCTCTTTATGAATGAAATGAATACGTCTCTCGTTATCAGACAGTTTGTAATACACCAAGAAAGATCCCGGATCATAATTTCATAAAGAATTATCTATTTGAAATCTTGATAAAATTATCGCTTCCTATAGAATTCGAATTAACATCATAGTTATTTATTTTATCATCTATATAATGCCGTATTACGGCCAAAAGTGGGGAAAGTCCGCTCTTCATCTCGAAATGCTATCACATGACCACGCGTATATAGCCTCTCACAGGGAAGTCCTATTCACTGCCTTCTCGTGACATTACTGCTGTTTACGAAATTGAGAGAACGAAAAGCAAATGTCCTGCTCCCAAACTGGGTTTGTGGATACAGAGGGTCCACCTAGGGGAGTTGGAAAACCCTCATTCCAAACCAATGGTGAATATGGGGTGACTTTATTATCCTGAGGGGACAAATGGCGAATGAACCAATTGTTGGTCATTGGCTATCATTGGGACTACATCTCCTTACGATGCTCCACTGCCTTGTAGATCAGACCTTTAGGTCGAAGGTCACGGGTGTGGCCCCCTAAGAAAACCACCTACTTCAGTTTGGGCACCTGGGCAGTATTACAGCTTTCACACAAATCGAATGAGATTTGTGTGGCGCATATATATCTGGTGCCCGTTTGTACCAATATTTATTTAAATAAAATAAATGATCAAAAAGGGGTACTATTCTATTGCTTCTGTTTTAACATATGTATCTATAAAAGTGGTTATATCGATTGAATCTTAAGTAGTATATAAATAGAAATCATATATTTCTATTATCCCAATGAATTGAAAAATTAGATTATCTGACGTTTTGTAACTCAGTTTAAGCCACTTCTTCAGAGAATAAACATCCAAATCAAAATCAATCCAATTTTAAATAGTACAAAGGTACGAACTTACTTACTTACACCTGTTATCCCTCGTCGAGCATAGGCCGCTCACCAGCATTCTTCATCCAACTCTGTCCTGGGAAATCCTTTCCGGTTCTTTCCAGTTAACATTCGTACTTTTCATATCTGCTTCTATCTGCCGGCGTAATGTGTTCTTTGGCCTCCCTCTTTTTCCGCTTCCCTTGCGGATTCCAAATTAGAGCTGGTCTTGTAATACACATTGACAAAGGTACAAAGCAAAAATAATATGTGTGATCAATCACAAAAAAAACAGACCTGAACTTGTACACTTAATCAAGAAACATCAGAAAATCTAATTTTTCTATTTATTGGTATACTACAAATATATTAATTTATTTATAATAATCCACTCAATGCTCAATTTCTTCTTCGAACCTTGTTAATAGTGTAGTGAACAAAACACTAGTTGGGGCAATCGAATGTATTTAAGCAAAGATTACAGACTATCTCAGTAAATTCTGAAAACCATACAGTGAACAGTCAATTTGCAAATTAACAATCAATTGTTTCAATCTTTACTGTTTCTTCTTTTATTCCATTGCTCATGCATTTTCCAAACGATTGCGCTTCATTTCAGTTCTTTGCACGTCGGTCTTCTGCGAAAATACATTCTATGCCTGATCCACACCATATACTACTTATATAAATATAAGTAGACCACACCACAATAGTACCTATTTAAGTAGTATAGTTGTTGAAGTCTTAAAATAGAATAGAAACATTCATAGATTGTTTACTTTTTCTTTGAATTAATGATTATCATTATTTTTGCTAGAAACTTGTAAAAAAATATGAACATCGAATTTAAACCGTTATTAAGTAGTATGAGATTATTAAGAATTTCAACCATCTGTTCATAATGTATAACATACTACTTAATTTATATAAGTATTGAATGATAGAACTTCATTAGTTTTTGTTTTATACATTCTCAAAATATAGATAGATAGATAGATAGATAGATAGATAGATAGATAGATAGATAGATAGATAGATAGATAGATAGATAGATAGATAGATAGATAGATAGATAGATAGATAGGTGGATATATATAGTTGGATAGATAGATAGATGGATTGATAGATAGATGGATAGGTAGATAGACAGATGGATAGATAGTGAATAGATGGATAGATCGGTAGGTAGATAGTGTAAATAGATAGATAGATAGATAGATAGATGTGTGGATAGATAGATAGATGAAAGCCGAAAGCAGTAATCATTTCACTGAATACCGTATGTTTGCATACAATAGAGAATTCCCATAATGAAATATGGATTGTTTAAACAAACTCATATTTTTTGTTCACTGAACGTGAAAACATTTAAAATAAAATAATTTATACGAATATTCATCTATATTAGAAAGAATAGTTTGACGAAAATTGGGCAACGAGTATAGAGAAGTTATCATTGTGTGTGAAAATACTACTTACTTACGCCTGTTACTCCTCGTGGAAGAGCATAGGCCACCAACCAGCCCTCGAATGCCTTG